GCATCATCATAACCATCAGCATAATCATCATCATCATCATCATCATCATCATCATCAGCATCATCATCATCATCATCATCATCATCATCATCATCATCATCATCATCATCATCATCATCATCATCATCATCATCATCATCATCATCATAATCATCATCATCACCATCATCATCATCATCATCAGCAGCAGCAGCAGCATCATCATCCTCCTCCGCCTCCTCCTCCGCCTTCTCCTCTTCCCTCCTCCTGCCTCCCCCTTCGGACCCGCGATGATCGATCCCCGATCGGCGAAGGCGGCAGGCCGCGGCTGTGACGAGGGCCGGCTGGCCTCGGGCGACTGGCCGCCGCCGGCGCTCATCGCCTCCGCAGGCTTGAGAGGGGCCCGCGGCGCCCTGGCCGCGGCGGCCCTCGCTGCTTGGGCGCTCGAGGGAGAGGAGGAGAGAGAAGGAGCAGGAGCAGGAGCAGGAGCAGGAGGAGGAGGAGGAGGAGGAGAAGGACAGTCAAGGAGAAGGAGGAGGAGGAGGAAGACAGAGGAGGAAGACAGAGGAGGAGGAGGAGGAGGAGGAGGAGGAGGAGGAGGAGGAGGAGGAGGAGGGAGAGGAGCAGGAGGACAGAGAAGGAGGAGGACAGAGGAGGAGGACAGAGAAGGAGGAGGGGGAAGAGGGCGAAGTTGCTGCTCATTATCTGCGCTGGGCAACGCTGCAACATGTGGACCTGATGCATTCGAAGATTTTGCACTGCATTCCAGAGCCAGGATCCGAGCGCCTCTTGAAAGGTGTTCCCTGACAATAAGTATCACCTGGCAGGGACCAGAATAAAAGCCAGGACAGAAAAGAATGAGGAGAAGGAGGCGGAGGCGCGTGGCAGCATCCAACGGATTTACATGTCATCATCAATCATGCGGAGGCGGCGGGGGACGCCGTGGAGGCGCGAGTGCGAACGCGAGAAAACGGCGGAAGAAGGGCACAAGAGGAGAAGAAGGAGGAGAAGGAGGACGACGACGAGCGACCGTAGCATAGACGACAATGTAAAATGCCCACCGCGGCCGCGGCGGGGCGCGGGCTCATGACATGGGCCTGTCCCTGGCGGTGATATGCACGATCTTATGCTTGCCGTAGTCGCAGGAGACGCCCATCTTCTTGGCCTCCAGGAAATGTTAGTCAGCGAAGACGATGGAGGGAACAGCTGCGGTCATCGAACGCTCCGAGTCCCAGCGCGAGCCTCTCCAGCACGGCGGCGTGAGATGCTGGCGCAGCTGGGCCGCCCAGTGCAGGAGCCGCAAACACTGCGAGTGATGGTGGACCTCGTCGTTGGCACCCACGCAGCCCCAGAGACACGGAAACCGCAGAGGGAGCACATGCATGCGACAACTCGTGTGCCGCCCGCCCGCGCGGGCGCGCACCGTGGCCCACCGCCACGCAGGGGGGGGGGGGGGGCATCTTCAGCAGCACCAGCTTCAGCGCCTGCCACCTCTGGAGCAGGTCTGCAGGTACCGCTTCGGCCCCGAGCCACGTCGTCGGCCCCGTCCTGATGGCGCGGTGGAAGCTGTCTGGGCACCGCCCTGCTTGGAGCTGTGCGGGAAAGCATCCCCCGAGGGCGAGGTCGCCGACCAGCGTCCAACGACGCCGCAACCGCACGCTCAGCAGTGCCTGCGCAAACCTCAAGGTCATGAAGAAATCGAGCAGGGGCGTCGATCGGCTTGGCGTTGACCGCCTGGAAATAGCGCTGAACGAGTGAGTCTTGAGCGCGCCCAATTTGCGGGCTCCACTCAGTGGCAGCAAAGGCTAGGCAGCCCTATATTCTCTGCGGCATGGTGATCGAGCCTCTCGTAGGCGTCGCCCCACGATGAAGTCGTGAACTTGGACGCCCTCCTCGTTGAGCCTGCCGCCATGGCACGCATCGATTTGACCGCTGCAGTTGGGAACCAGGAGTCCAGGGAGAGGAAGTCCGAGGGCTAGAGCGTCGCAGGCGGAAGCCGCAGCACTTTGCGGAACGCAGGGAGCTCCGCCATAGCGAGATTCTTGGGAAGCGGGAATAACTGCATGAGGCATGACAGCACCGAGAGGCAGCTGGCGCCGCGGGGCCGCGCGTCGACGTCGACGGGAGCGGCCGACTGTCCAGCGCGCACCACTCGATGCCACCGCTTCTCCAACGCCATCGAGCTTCGGGAGGCGCGCCTGGGCCAAGCTGCGCGCCCAGGTACTTGCCCACCTCTTTGACCTGGACGCCTTTCCATTGCGGGGGGCAACACGGAAATAATCGACTCGTCATGAACGCCGCTCATCGAGGGCCCCATCGACTCGGAGATCGGCCGCTCGCCGAGAGCCTGCCAAAAGGGAATGCGAAAGCTCTTTTCTTCGGCCGCAGTCTGAGGTTGCCCAGCTCGCGCGCCACGTCGAGGGCCGCGGCAATCTTCGGCCGGGTCTGAACGCCGAGGTCGACCGCGCCCACGTCGTCGGCACAGGCACCAACGGTCGCGTCTGCTTGGGATGGTAGGATGTCGGCGATGGCGCGCAGGATGGGACCCATCGCCACGGCCCTGGCCGAACCCGATGAGGGGCAACCCCGGGCAACGCCACTGCCGATGTCACAGAGGCGGCGGCGGGCGCCTCCTAGCAGGGCCGGGCCCCCAGCCCCGCCGCCGAGGCCGTG